ACATCTTATTTTGTATTTGTCATATTTTTTTATATTAATCTTAATATTTATATAATTTAATTATTTGTAATAGCAAGTGTAATTTTAGTTTAAATCTTAAAATTATAAAACAAACATTTTAATAAATAGTTCGTAACTTACTCCTCTCATAACTTATAGTCCTCACATTTGATATTGTACATCGGTCCTAATCATTTAGTATTTGAGCATAAGATTTACATACTAACTTTAATTTTTATATTATCTTCGTAAAAGAAAAAAACATGATAATTGATGAAAAAAAATACATATTACTTGTTTGGTTAGAGTTTATTGAATTTACAAACCATGAATATAAGAATTTAATTAATCATTATTTAATTATATCGGTTTGTTTTAAATTAAATTAAATTAACCTAAGATTATGAATGGATTTAATTGTTTAGGTGGAATTCTCACACTGATACAAATACACATTCATTCAAGTAAAAGAAAAATAGTTTTTGGGTCTAAAATCCAACAAGGAATTCCTTATCCGATTTTCAATTGGTGGAGCTCATATACTTGATCCAAATTTCTGCCATCTTATAGGTTAGATTTCTTATCAAAGAGATTTCACATGATAGTGTGAATATGAGCTTTCTTTGATGGGATCACAAAGTTTTCCTCTGCACTTTTTGTTTTCTAATAATAGAAATTTGAACAAGACATTACCTTATCTGAATTTTATACAAAGTGGTCCCAAAACCTTTTGGTTCTATCTATTCCTTTTTCTCTTCACAATATTGTTTCAGCTTCAACTTTGTATGTTACCGTCACCGACAACCTTGTCAGCTAAAATCAATCCTCACTTCCTCGGTTTGTTTCATCTCTTTGTCAGCTACTTAAAAGAAAATACCTAAAATGAAAATAAAATACAATTTTTATCATTATATTTCATCTTATTCACTATTTTACTTCCTGGTTTTAAAATAGAGACGTTTTATGTTTTTATTTTAAAGATTCATGATTTTATTATAATTATGAAGTCTGTACATATATTTTTTATTTTAATTAATTGAATAATTGTTTATGATACCTTAATAAACTTACTAGATCTATCACTCAAATGAACCAAAAATAAAAGAAATGCAGCATACGTAAATTTCATTCTGGGACCAAAATGTTTGTTAGAAATATAAATTTATAAATATATAATTTAGTTTCAACCTTGTATGTACAAGTATAATTAAATTAAAAAACCAGTATATATTATATACAATCTATATTACATCTTGTTATTACATTTAATATTCTTATATAAGACAAAATTGAGATATATTATGGTAGAGTTAAATTAAATTTGATTTTGTTTTTATAATACATAATTAGTATATCTACCGTGAAATATGAGTTTATAAATAATTTTAAATAATATAGTATATAATAATATTATATTTTATTTAATTTTTATATTTTGAGAAACATATAAAAGAAGAAAAGTGATTTTAGTTTTTATCTTTAAGAGAATTTGATAATCAAAATTAGTTTTTCTTAGGAAAAGTAACGTTGATCACATGAAAACTGTAGATATTTGAACGTGAATATTTTACATATAATATGCTATTTTTACTATTTATTTATAATTTATTCTAATTTTTATCAGTTATAATTTAATTTTTTTATTAATATACTATTACCTAGTATTCATGGCAGACCTTTTAAGGGACAGGAGTTGTCATGGCTCCCCAATTTTTTGAAAATTTGAAATGTATATATTAGAAATTTTGAAAGTTTTTAAAAAATTCTAAATTATATATAGTATATATTAAAAATAATGTTGATTAAACTATTTTTTTCTTTTCTATTTTCTTTTGAGTTTTTAATACATTTTACTCATCTTTTAATCTCAATTATTTTCTTGTTGTTTACGAAGAAAAATAAAAATAAAAGTTCAGATAATCTCATTATTTTTTATCTTATAATCTCATTAATTAATACTAGTTAGTTGAAAGAAAAACTTGCTTATAATGTAAAAAATATATATAACAATCAAATTCAAAATTCAATTATATTGAGTAACATTGGATCATTAAAAAAAATCAAAAATTATATAAAGGACATAAACAGTAGAAAACGACCAAATGACGATCAATATTTATCAGTAATTTCACTGTTGGTAATCATTATCCATGGATATTGGCCATTGGTATGAAAGAATGAATCCACCAATAATTATTAAAGAATATATCCTTCGATAAATCCGTCAGTAAGTGTTTGGCAGAGACTAATGCAATTTGTATTGTTAGTATAACCCTACATTGAGACAATCAGACCTGCACAAAAGAACAAAGAAGAGTATTTGTTATTACAAAAGAAGCATAGAGAACTATATCTCCTATTATAAAATAAACTTTTAAACATATGTCTTGATTGTACTAAATAGCTTCAACAACATTTCTTTCATCATGTTTGTTAATATATGTTAAACTTCTAGATCATATTGACAATAGTGTTCTTTAGTATAAATTTGAATATCCTTAACTAGAGTATTTGACTTCCCACTACACTACTCAATACAGACTAATCCACTCCATTCATTTCAACTTGTAGATGTAGTCAAGGTATAGCCTGTTGCAAGCCACTTTTTAGGTCCACTTTGCGTAGATGTAAAAAATCATATACAAGATGATATCCATTTAACTCGATCTCCACAACTACCTTCTTAACTTCAAGATCCTTCTTAACCACGTCAACAACATCCTTAGGAAGGTTACATCATTTACCATTCCTATAGAACATCAAATGCTTCAGTCTCCCACTCTTTTTATAATTTGAAAATGCTTAACTAAGTTATGCACAATATGAGGACCAACATTTGTCAATTACATCCACTAAATCTCATCTGTTTGAGAACCGTGCTCATTGGTGATACATACGATGGACAATAGAGTAAAATTGGTTATGAAGCTCTACTAAAATGTGCAGCATATCGGATCGCCCGCTTGCGCTTCAGATTGAGTGCAACCCTATCCAATGCCTTTGTGGTTTTTGCTTCCTTTTCTATCTACTAGCCCAATATCTATAAACACGCTTAAATATACAAAGCTCAAGTACGATAGTTAAATACAAACCTAGACCTTAAGTACTAGGATAACTGTGGTGCCAATGGTGACGGTTGTGAACAACTCGTACTAGGATAACTACATTCGCATGAGGTGTAGTTCAAATCTAAACCTCTGATTACTCAACATACTAACAATAACTATAGCTTCATGAATGACTTGTATAGACCATTATACTTATACTAATTAATCTAAATACAAAGAACAAAGAAACAAACACAAATACAAAGAATAAAGCAAAAAATACATTGATACAAAAACAAATTATATACAAACAAAGAAGGACTCAAAACTTACCTCGATGGTTTGTGAGGCAGCTAACAGTTTAGGGTCTCTCGACAACCATGCACTCTCTATCGATGAAGATACAACAAGCAAGGACCTTCGACAACAACAATCCCTCTAATTACGACAACAACAATCCCTTAATGAAGGATGCCACAACCATGCACTCTCCCTTAACAGAAATAATCCCTTGACAACAATAAAAATTCTTGAGAACTCCCAATTCCAAACATATAACACCCAATTACGAAGAACAAGGGCTCAATTTTTAGGTTCATTGTAAAAAACAGAACATACCTCGACTAGGAACCCTCAAACAAGCTCCCAAACATGCACGAACAACCCTCAACCAAGAACCCTCCACCAACAAGCTTCAAACCATCGAGCAACACCCTTGGAACTAAAACCCTAACGTCATAGCATCAGGCTCCCAATGGCAGCGTCAACGAAGGACAAACCCTCCACCAAAATCATTGAAACCTCCAACTAGAACGAAGCTCTGTCTCTAAGATCAACGAATGAGGGAGACAATCCTTGAGGGAGACGACCTCTGCCACTTCGAATCCGGGAAGAATACAATGAATGACCAATATAGAAAAGCAAGAATAAGGTTGGAACGAGCTTCGTAGAGGAGAAGAAGAGCGAAAATGAAATTGAGAGAAAACTGATTTCTCAAATCTTTAATTAACTTAATTCTGGTACTTACCGATGAATCTTTACTCTGGTACTTAACTAAAATAAGATGACATAAATTATCAGTAATTTTTATCAATAAATATAGGTTACTAACAAATTTATAATTGTCGGTAAAGATTGGTTGATAACTTTAGTAATTCTTAGATGTAAGTTGATATATTTAAAAAAAAATTAAATAAAAAGGAATTAAGTGAAATATTTTACCAAATGACTACGTATAAAAGTCATGATTACAATAACAACTTTGTTTTTCAAGAAATTTGAATATAAAATGCTCCCACAGTAATAAGAAGATTTGAAATCATAGGTATTCTTCTTTTCATGTTCAGTTTAAGATTTTCAGCTTGGGTTGATTTCTTCTCTAATTTTCATATTTTTTTTTTCATAATTTTCTTTCTAAAACAAAAATATAATTAAATATTAAACAATAGTTAATAAGAGGAAACGTGTTTGTTATTTATTAATTGGTAATCAAATAATAGTATGTTTGAATATATTATTTTAAATTTTTTATTTAAATAAAAGTTATACATGATCTCAAATTAAAATGAAAATATATTGTTAGCCGTTACTTTTAAAATTCATATTATACATAAAATAACTTTTAAAATAGTACTCAATTAGTATATTGAATTAAGAAATTTGGCATGAGTACTTAACTTAACTGATAAGATAAAATTATTTTAGATTATTATAGAAAAAGTAATGATTACTAATCACACTGTAATCCAAATTATTGGAGAAATTATGATTTTGAATATGTTAAATTAAGATAAGATGAGTTTAGTGAAATTATTTATAAAGAAAATTATTAAAATATAAAAATTTAATCTAATTAAAAAACATTACCAGAAAGAGTTTTGCTTTATTTAACATAGCATGAAACAGCTTAAAAAAAATCTACATTTACGAATTTAGAAACCGCAGAGATCTTCCACTGTTATAAAGAAAAAAAGAAAGAAAAAACAAGAGGGTCCATCCCCTACAGGAAAAGTGCTGCTTGTACGACTCGCTGACACACGCGCCCCTTCTCCCTCACTTGTCATTCATCCTACACGATCATCATGATTATTACATAATAATTGTGTTCCACGGTCTTCATATTTTCTTGAACAACCTTTCCCCCATAAGCAGCATTCAGAAACTTCCCAGAAATTCCGATATATAGTCCAATCAAACCCAATGATGTTTTGCTCGGAAACCAACTCAACATCATTTCTCACCGGATTCAACTCTCAGTCGTTGTAGGCTCCGATCACCCTCTCAGAATTTTTTTTCTGTAAGCAAGTATGTCTTCCAACAAGAACATGGGAAAAACTGTCGGCGCAAAAACGGCAAGAGCATGTGATGGCTGCATAAGAAATCGAGCGCGTTGGTACTGTGCGGCCGACGACGCGTTCCTATGCCAAGCTTGTGACTCTTCCGTTCACTCAGCGAACCCATTAGCGCGTAGACACCACCGCGTTCGCTTGAAAATCATTTCGCACATTAACTCCGGCAATGACTTATCTTCTGGAATGAGTAATAGTCGTGTTCCATCGTGGCACAAAGGGTTCACCAAGAAACCCCGAACACCACGTCACGGGAGGCACACTAATAAGGGTGTCAAGAGCCCCTTCAATGTGGTACCGGAAGCGTGTCCCCAAGAAACAATTTGGAATTCACATGAAGAGAGCACAGATCAGCTTCTTTACAGAGTACCCGCAACTCCTTCATCTGAACAAGGGGTATCCATGACCGATGAGAGGAAAGTTGTTTTTTTAGGATGTGAAAGCGCTATTGAGATTGCGGAGTTTAGTGCCGATGTTGAGAGTTTGTTGGGGAAGGGACTAGAGAGTGAGTTTGTGGGAATGGAAGAGTTGGGGCTGGTGGGTGCCAAGGAGGTGGAGGAGCATGTGAAGGTGGAGGAGGAGGCGCTTGAATTGGATAAGAACCAGCAAGTACTCAAAGAAAATTATCAGCTGAAGAAGAAGATACTATTGTTGCAGTTGGATTACGAGGCTGTAATCAGTGCTTGGACGACCCAAAAATCACCATGGACAACTGGTGCTAAACCAAACTTGGGCACTCAGCAGTTTTGGCCTCATTTCATGGTATGACTACAATCTATGGCTTTAATTACCCTTTATGGTTGCTTTTTCTTACGTTGGTTTAATTTATTATTCATTTTCTTCCACGATGAACTTGGACAACATACATACATAGCTAGAGTATGGGGCATTTATTGGGGATTTTTTTATGACAATAGGTGATTTGAAAAATTTTATAGTGAGATTGTATTATTAATCCTAATCTATTAACAGGGAACATGTGGAGTCGAGTTTTGCCATCTTCGTGGGGAATTGGGTGAATTATCTGGGTGTCATTCAACAATGGGAGACGATGGAAGAGAAGCAAGAGTATTGAGATATAGAGAAAAGCGACGTAAAAGGTTGTTCTCGAAAAAAGTAAGGTATGAGGTTCGAAAGATGAATGCGGAGAAAAGACCCAGAATGAAAGGGAGGTTTGTAAAGAGATCTTGCATAGCGACACCACCCACTGTTCCCTTGTTAAACAGAAAATAAGAGAGTATGAAAAAAGGGTGCATGGACCGTGCCACCTTTACATTTTTGTTTGAAATTAATGTCTTAGTTTCATCTCTGAATTCGAATGTATATACAAATTGAATAGCATAAAGTAATAAAAGGTTAAAATTACCATGTTTCGGTAATCAGAAATGTTACTTTATGGAACATGATATTTTGACCATTTTGACATGGATTTTTAATTTTTTTTAAAGCTATTAGAGCTGGAAAACGTAGCACTGAAAAATGAAAATTGCTGAATACACGTTTTCTTCCTTCCTTCTTTTGGTTGTTTTTCTAGCTTCTGTCGTTTTTCTTGTGTTTCTTATTTTTGCTTCTTCGCTTGCTTTATTGAAATTCATCATTATTTTGTTTCTCCATTGTTTTGTTGTGTTTGCAATTGAACATAAAAACCAAAAATCCCTTTGCGAGCAAAAATGATAAAGGAGACCTCCTTATTTTTTTTTGTCTACCATCATTCACTCGTAATAAAAAAAACTTTCTATGATTATTTGTTCTGTATATATTTAAATCCTTACTTTCTTAACTGATAAAAATATAGGTTAAACATTGTTTAAAATTTCATTTCAACAAAGAAAATTTGAACCATGAATGGTATGTGATTCTTTTCCATGACGTAGGTTACCACAGTTAAAAAAATAATTAAGTGCTTTCATTGAATCATTCCTTTGCAAAAAATTTAAACCAGACTAGGTATGATAGATAAGTCGAGTGCAACAAACAAATAAATGGGAGGAGCAACTTTTTGTACATGTTTAACAAAATTTCATCTGATGATGCTTTTAACCAATGGGATTCATATCTACCATTGATAACTCAATTTCTATACTCCCACATTCAAACTTATTACACTCCTTTAGCTTCTTTGTCTCATTTACTTTTTAGTTTTAGCCTAGATTTGTGAATCTTAGAAAGTTTTCACTAATAAAAAATCGTATTTTTAACTTGCATATTACGCTTCGATTTCAGCAAAACCGAAGCGTATCAAAACGTGGTGGCAGTTTCGTAATATTTAGAACACCATATGCCTCAGTTGTCAAGCAACCAATGTCTAAAGAGAATACTGCCTCGGTTGGAAGGGTTAACCGAGGCATAAACCCCACAGATATTATATTAATTAGACCTTTCACCTGGTACGTTTGTGGTGGCAACGATACTGCCTCGGTTGACAGGAAGGACCAAGGCATATAAGCCTTTATTGCCTTGGGGGCAAGAAGGACTGAGGCATATAAGCCTTTCTAATATTGGAAAGATGAAATTTTTCCCCAAATGCCTCATTCAAGCAAGGAAAACCTAGTGCAGCCGAGTGCCTTCTTTCTCGCGTCGTCTGCTCCGAGTGCGGCCTCGTCCCCGACCACTCCATCGACGAGACCTCCGACGGGCGACAACGACCCCAATCGTGTCGGCGGTCCCTTTAACATGAACGAACTCTAGTGCTTCCAACTGGAACAGAAAGTTGATCGGAGTCAGGTTCTTTGCCAAGGGTTGCGAGGCCATGTTAGGTCCTATTAACGAGACTAAGGAGTCTAGATCCCCTCGCGACGATGACAGTCACGACATCCACACAGCCAGCATAGTCGCAGGATTGATGGTTTTCGACGCAAGTCTTTTTGGTTCGGCACCCGGAACGACGCAAGGGATGGCGACGCATGCGAGAGTCGCTGCTTACAAGGTTTGCTGGAAGGGAGGGTGGAATGGCTGATTATTACACAGGAGCTGGTGGCTGATACTCATTTGTTGCTAGCGTCGGGTGGGGAAGAAATTGATTTTTTGGGATGACAACTCCGCAATGCTCATTGCATCAAAACCCATAAGCCTTTGATTCTTACAAAAGCTAAAAAAGTACTTTTTTCTGATTTTCAAGACATTGCTGGTATTTCCACTTCTTTTATTTACTTTATACGTTATTCTGAATGATTTTTTATGGCAAAGTTATGCTGCTGAATTGATTAAAGGAAAAAGAGTCACAATAATAGGCTCACATAAATATGCTATTGATCTTGTAGCTGAATGTGCAAATGCAAATGGTGAGAAATTATTTTGGTTGCAAAATGTTATATTCAACCTGCAGAAGAATTTATTTCAGTTTTATCCTACATTACTGGCTAGTTTAGTACTTCTAAATTTTTCCATTCTGATGTTTTACTCCACAAATCACTTTTGCAGGAGTCATGCATCCTTGCACAATTATCCAAAGGACTACATACTGGTTTTTTCCAGATTTCCAGACTTGTGGCCATTGAAGAAGTATGGATTGATACCTAGTCACAACTTTATATGTGTAATGGAACCACCAAATGCATCTATTAATACAAACTAATATCCAGCTACACAAGAATGTATTCTTTCGTAAAATATAAAAAAACCTTTCTATTGCCTCGGTTCAACTCCAAACCGAGGCATAAGACCCCATGTACTGACTCGGTTCACCAGTAACCGAGGCAAAAGCATACACCTTTTTGCCTCGGTTCAGAACCGAGACAAAAAGTGGTAGACTTTTTACCTCGTCTGTATATACCTCGGTTGCGGAATCACTGCGGATAGGCAAAAATAACTGTTGTCGTTTCTCTTTATTACTCTAGTGTTTGCAATTTACAAGTAGGTTGTTGTCGGATTTCTGGATACCAACCTACTAGATGTCAAGATTGGGTTGTTGTGTTTTTGAGTGACGAGCTTCTACTATGTCGAGTTGCTACTATATTAACCTGTTGAATTGTCATGATTCTAAGCTACCGAGATCGGATTGTCGTGCTTTTATGCTATATATTGAGTTATCGGGTTGACCTGAAGCTGTTAAAGAACGTCGGCCCTAAGAGCTGCATTGTTGTGATAATAATCATGCACTAATGCAAAATTCACGTACAATGTCTACTATTCAACGTCCGACCACCAAGCAACCAACGTTAAAAATGACCGATGACATTCCGATAAATAAAATCATGAAATAGACAATTGTTGGTCAAGGAACAAACATTAATTACCTTTTTTATGTTTGTTGATCGAGGAACAGACTGTCAAGACAATATCGTCTAGAGAGACTAGATTGTCTAGAGCATCTCTAGTTTTAAGTTTAACAAACAATATTAAGTGAAATAGTATTAAGTAATCAAATGTCTAAAAGAAAGGAAAGAACATAGATACATCACAGAAGAACAAAAAAGTAAAATCAAATCATATAATGATCATAAGAGAAAAAGCGTCTGAACACTAGAAAATCGACATCATAGAATCATCTAGGCACAAAACATCTAGATGCCCACTTAGCTTGAAAAAGAAGTCAGAAAGAAAAACATTTAAAGATTAGAAGCATCTAAGCGTCAAGTCAAATCAGAGTAAAAGTTAAGGTTATGTCTAAATCTACATGAGATGTTAAACAATGTAAAAGATAAGTTAAAATGATATAAAAGTGTCTGATCAGTAGAAGAAGTCTACATATAGTGTGCCTAAAAATATACAATTGCAAAGTAATAAGCATAAGAAGTGTCCTATTAAATCTGATAAACATTGAGTGCAAGAATCAATCAAGTACCACATTCCTTATAATGAGTATTGTCTAAAGAACATATATGCAAAATAAAAGAATATATGTTTAGCTTGAAAGACAACACTGCACTTCTGAAAAGAGATATAATACAAAATGTTAGTTTCGCACAACTAATCAATACTGCAAAAAGAAAGGAAGTCTATTAAGAAAAAGATCAAGATCGTTTAGTATCTTCACATGGTTTAAGGACTAACTAACAAGCTATGAGCAAAACATATGATTAACAAAGTATAACCTTTGTGAAACCCATATCGCTAGACTACCTATAAAAGATATGTGTTTTATTTAAAAACTTTATAAAATCTAAATTTTTTAAGAAAAGTTTTATCAAACACACTAATACATGAGTAGACGCTCTATTAAATGATTTCCTCACAAAATGCATCAATGTAATATATGAGAGACTTGTTAAACGCACTTGTGTTATACTTTGCTAAACAATGCAAGACGAGTTCTCACTATAAGGTACAAAATAATTTTTTTGGTAAACACGCTAAAACATACAAACCTTGTTTAAAAAAAAAGAAGTTTAACCAAATAACATTAAATGAAATAAGAATCTGAAAACACCATAGGATGAAACATAAGACTTAGGCTCAAAAATCCCCAACATAGAAAAATCTTAAGAAAACTCTTAGGATTGTAGAAAACATAAAAACACCTAAATCAAAACACCTAGACACAATGTTAAACAACCGATAAGTTAAAGCATCTAAGAGAGTTGTGCTAAACGTGTAATCTTACTATACCCAAGGGGTATTCGGTTGAACTATCGGGAAAATGAAAAAATGTCAAGACAGTGTCTTTGATAAAAACAATCTAAAAGCTTAAACCTAAAATGCAAAAAAAAAAAACAAAAAACATAACATGATAAACATTATGGCTCTAAAAAGGCAAAACTACAAAAAGCGTTTACATCAGTCTAGACGATACCATGAGATAAAACTGTTACTTCGTCCAGCGATGAAGTTCTTACTCAACGCTTGGTATCTTTAGAAGAAAAACTTAATTGCTAAATACTACCTCGACGGTAGAAAATGAAAAGCACTTTGTTGTTCTTAGCAAGCATTAAATGACATTAAATGGTTAACGTTCAAAAATAACAAAAGTGATAAGAGATAAGACATATCTTTTGTACACACAATCTACTCTATTCTTTGCATATAACCTACTCTACACACATCTGCATGATTCATTTAAAAATCATAATTGGACGTTAGAGTCAAAAGAGATATTCACAAATGTTCTTCACTTGAGAAGCGGTGTCTAAAAGGAAGTACAACATAGTACAAGCAAAGTACTAAAAAAGAAAGCCTACTCTGACAAGTTGACTTTAACCAATGGTTACTATACACAAAGAAATAGAAGACACAAGAATCAAGGCCAAGAACTTAGTGTAACGAACATTTCTCTAAGAGCCTTTAAATAGAAGATCATTAAGATGAAGAATCAAAAAAGGATAGCATACAATAGAAATATTCATCCTAAGAAAAACGTTCAAAAGAAAAGCACGGAAAAGCTCAAGAAAAGAAAACATAAGAGTAGAAGAAAAGAAAAGAAATCAAATAATACTCTCGAGCTTCATTGTAATATTTACTAACACTGCAAGAAAGAGAGAAAGAGAAGAGAGAGAAACATCTGCGAGTGTTTAGATTGCTTTGTATTGTACTCACATCCTCTCTACGAGAATAATAGTCTAAACGACTTGTAAGCAATTGTTGATTGCAATTATGAAGAGAAATAAAACACTTGTTGAACTTTATGGAGTTAAGGAAATCTAGGCAAGGTTGTCCAGTACCAGGAGTGGTGAAAATAATCATCCAGATCTAGGGTAGCAGGAGGTTATTCACTATCTGAGAAGACCAAGAGTGGTGCGAATACTCATCCATTATATGGTAACAGGAGGTTACTTGTTGACTGAGAAGATCAGAAGTGGTGCAAATACTCAGTTGTAATCTTGTTGAAGATTATAGTGGAACCCTCTACGGAGGAGACTGGACATAGCTTAGATGGAGTGAACCAGTATAAAATATATGTAAGATTGTTGTTTACCTTTTGTTTAAACACTTTTTTTTTATAAAACCTGCACCTGCATCTTTATTTCTACATACATGAAACTTCCGCACTAAACGATTCTTATTCAACTAAGGAAGTTCTTATAAACATTGTAGTGTACGTTCAGAATAACACGTCAAAAGAAATTATCATTCAAAATCATTTACAAGGTCGAGCGTTTAAGTATTCATTTGATAAATCCAAAACTCAACAAACATGTTATATCAAAAGGGTTGCGAATTTATTTTTCCATTAACACTATTCAACCCCTTCTAATGTTTTTCAAATACTTCAACCTAATCAAGTAAATTTTTCAAAAATTGGGTCTCAATTGAACAAAAAACCAAGTGGGGACTGATTTAAAACATTCCAACCAAACTAGGACCAAGCGAGTAATTAAGTCTAAATTTTTCTTTCTCATGAAATTTTATTTGGTACTCTAATTTAAATGTAAACAATTATAATTTTTTTTCTTTATATTTCATATTGAAGAAACAATAATATATCCTCTTGATATTGAATATTTGATAAAATCATGTTTCCTTTGTTATGATCTTTTATTTACAAAAATTAATTAATCGATATTGAAACAAAAAGTAAACGAGTACAAGCACAAGTACATGTGTACATATTATCTGATGGGGATGAGGATGACAAAAATATTTTACTCATTTATATGGGTATTGGGATAGGAATGGATTTCTCCTTTGGGAATGAGTTTAGCATAATGAAACCTGCCTCACCCTCTCTTGTTACCATCCCTACGAACAATAGTAGATCCCAAAATTTGATCATGAACATGGGAATAATTTAAATTCAAGGCACAACACAAAACATTCAAGAAGTTTTAGGCTTTTTTTTAATATGATGGAAAATAAGATAAAATAGGATATTCAAATTAGAACCTTGCTATAGATACTAGATGATATAATCCTATCCAGGAAAGAGTATGATCTTTTCTAAATTTAAATCAATGGTAGAGGATTATCCCTTAATCCTATATAAGAAGAACTTGAAGAAGAGATTGCAATTCAAAGGACCTATGACTAGGTCAAGGAGCAAACAGTTGAAAGAACAAATTTTTTCAAGACTCATGATGCTCCATGAAGATTAGAATTCAAAGTGACATGAAGATCATGGTTTGGAGCATAATTATTCAATAGTTTAGGCAATTAAAAATATTTGCAATTTTCTTTAATTGTAAACAATATGTTTATGCTTTTAAATTTTCAAAGTTATTTTTGGGCCTGATATATCTTTAAACTTTCTTTTATGGTTTCTTAGGCTGCTTAAACATTTGTGCCTATATATAGGAGAACCAAATACATATGTAAAGACTTTTAAGTCATACTACATGCATTTGCTATCTTTAAGAGATGATTATCTTGGTATCAAAGATTAACATCTTTCTGAAAAAGTTTCACTTGACTTATTAATATGCTAAATTGTGGCATCCTCATCTTGTCTTTTCCACATTCTTCTCTGATTTATTTTTGTTGTATTTCTGGAGGATTTAAATTCAGAAAATATCATACTCTTTCTTAGACAGGGTCAGCAAAATTTCTTCAATTTTTTATGCTTTTCTTGTCTTCTTCATGTAATGTTTGACTTGACTTCTTCTAGTTTTCATTATTTGTTATTTGTTGAATTTATCTTTAAGGTATCATAAAACTTTAACCAATTTATTTTCACATTTTCATAAACTCAACTTAAGAGCATCTACATTAATACACATCTAAATATTAAAAAAAACATTTATGCAACTAAAAGGTTGTTAAATTTTTTGTATCTCATACTCAATAAACCCAATTATAATAAATCTTAATTAAAATATTTTTTTAAAATACAAATCTAATTAAAAACTAAATAAAAACATAAATATATACATATATTAAAAATAACATAAAAAAATAATTGGTTTACTTCTAAAAGAACTCGTGACAAAGCAATAGAGAGCATTTACTATCTTAAATAAATCATTAAAATATGCCTATACCATTCAGTGATAGAAATATTTTATTATACGACTTTTAAGATCATAAATAATTTTAATTGATAAAAAAAGAAATTTATTAAATTTAAGTATATCCTCCATTAACCAATATACGCTTAACTAAAGCCCCCACCAACATTTACATTTGACAATTTCCAATGCTCCTATTTCTACATTTCTTTTAAAAAATGAAAAACAAAACAAATAACTCCAACGATCCATTTCTACATTTCTTTTCAAAAAACCAAAACCAAAAACAAATAATAAGATAAAAATATAAAAAACATCCTATATTTTATTACTTTTTATTGGTTCGGTTGCAGCACTTCATTAACAAGAGAAGCCTAGTCTAGCCAAGAGTTAGCTCCAAATCAATATTGGCTCCACCATTTATTCTTGGCTTGTCTTGGCTCACCAACACAGCCTTCATTATTTCCCCATTACCACCCTCTAACCGTCTTGGCTCATGATGACTTAAAATTGGATTCCATAATGTAGCTGAGTTGACTAAACCCACATGTGACATTGGCATCATAACATCCTTGTGCTTCTTAGATTTTCCTCTCACCTTGTCCATGTTGGCATCTTTAGACACATGTCGTATGTCAAGGAGTTTCGAACCATGGTCGCTTTGCGAATGAGATGTTGGCATGACATTGATCTGTGACCCAGCTAGCACAGCATCAACAGCAGCTTGACATTGGGCCCACTCACCACTCCAAAATAACCCAACTGATCCAAATGTTGGGTTTATGATTCTCCCACAGGCCTCATACATTAGTGACTTGAAAACATCTGAAATTTACAAATATTGTCATTTTCTTCAAGATGTAAATAATTAATATATATTTTTTATCTCAAAATCTTTCCAAAATCACACCGAAAAATTGATAGAGAATAACTTTTTTCATCAAACTATATAGACAACATTCTTTCCCATCCTATTATCCATTGTAAAAAAGGATATACTGTCATTGTTCTGTTAACTAGAAACAAATGACAACAAAATGGTGATTATTATTCTCTTAGAGGGTACTGAATTTATTTATTTTTAATCACAGATAGATTTACAAAAAAGTAAATATGTTGAAATACGTAAGTTTAATTTAAGGTAAGGGTATAATTGTGAGGGAAAATCACCAGTCCGATGTTGTTGTGGGGCAGCATTGATGAGGTTGAGCAAGCCGGCACGACCATAGAACTTAGAAAGGAAAAGGGTGGCATTAGCTTGTGCCTCGGAGGAGTTTATCCATTCAAGACATGGCCTAATGACACAGTCCTCGGTACAACCTTTGCGAAGAATGCGACAACCATTACAACTAATCTTCATGGTGGTTTTTCCGAGTACTTAGAATAACAGTGTAAAGGAGTGTATATATATATATTAACACCAACCAAGCCACCAAGTGAAACTGGTCAGGTCCCTAATGAAATTTTCCTGGTATTGTGGTTTTTTTTTTTCTCGTGGTATTCTTTTTCCTTTTAATAATTTCATGTGGGGACTTATTACCTTGGCAGTATATGAGGCTTTACGAGAGCACTGCATGAAGAGAAATTTGTAATTGATTGTGAAAGCAAAGGGTATAGAGGTAATCCTACAAGGTAATTTAAATCATGAGACATTTCAATTTGTAACACGAGGTATTGGAGGAGGAAAAGCGTGGGTAAATTGACGGATAAGGACACAAGCTTATGTTGACAATTTTTCATAAAGTATATTGGAGCTCCCTTAAATAGGGAGAAAAATTCTGTGGGGCCATGGGCGAGGGCGGAATATATATATTCGCCCATGGTTTTCTTTCATCAACGACTTCATTAATATGCAATGTTGTTCTTTTTCCTGTTGTGGAAGCCAAGTGTTTTTTGTGAAAGTAATTGTCTAACACAACATCATTGATTAGATAGTATCCTGCTTAGTTGGATAACTTGTACATTAATTATTTGATTATATCATCTATTGTCCTTTTCTTTCTAACTAGTTAATGTATTTTCTCTTTCCTTTTCCATAAAATCAAAGTTTTGTGAAAAATATTTTGGACATCTTTTCAATATAAGAATTATGTTTTAGACATATTTGCTATAAGTTCGGATATTTTGGTACCATGCTAGTTTTTCTTTGACATTTTTTTTATCATACATGCTTTGAAATCGTATTTTATGATTATAGTTCTATTTTTACTTATTTCATGGTGTATGAACAATGTGATCATGCAAGGTTAAAGTTTGTTTTTCTCTCTAAAAAAGTCTTCCCAACAAGCTCTCTTTAAAATACTGGTCAAAGTGTATTCAATACTATTTAATAAGTGTTTTCAACTATATTAAGATAAACGATAAATTCTTTATATTTTCATAAATACTTTCATTCATGAATTTTATTTATTAACTTGCATTAAGGAAAATGGTCAAAATACTTTTTGGAAGAAAAATTATTTGTTTTTTTATAATTAATATATTATTCATGATCTCTTCTTTTTATTAGAAATAATGTAAAGTGAAATAAATAAAGGTTGATAAACAAGTGATGAAGAATAAATATATGTAAAAAAAATATGAAAAAATTTATTATTTTTAAGTAATGAGTGAAAATACTATTGAGAAGAACAAACCAAAAACGTGTAAACTCAAATGACAATATGCGAATTAAGAAAAAAATAGGAAGATTATAAACTTAAGAAAAAAGGTACTGACAAGGATATTAAGATTAATTCAAATAATAAGAATATATATATCACTAACATGTGTGAAGTGTAACATCTTTAATTTTAATTTTATAATAATTATTTTCCCATATATTATTGTTTCTCTAAATGTATCAAATTTTAATTCATGCTATTATGTTCAAAGTTCTGATATCTAATTCATTATAAAGTTTGATAATTTTAGGACTGTAGCTAAATAAATCATAAAATTTACAACCTTATTTTCAATTTAATGTTTAATACAAATATAAAATAGTGCAAAAAGGTACATAAATTTCTTTTTACATTCAAAAATTGGTCTGTACTACCATCAAAATTGGTGCTCCAAATTTTTGTTAGTGTTTTTAATACTTTACGTTTAAAAGTGTTTTAATTTAGTCCACACATTAACTTTTGTAACTGTTGAGAATATATTTCACGTATATAATTTAATCTTAGAAATATATTCGAAGTATATACTTACTAAATACCTACCTATAGAGTAACAAGAGGAAAAATAGCATTAGTGACAGGGATATTCATAAAAATCTAAATAAATATTTAAAATGTTAAATCACAATAAATACATTCATTTCCTCACTTAGCTTATAAAAATGACTGCATCTCAATTCTCATTATGTCTCTCATATTTTTTTACTTTCCACTTCTCATAATGTTTTTGAAATGAGATAATCAATGTAAGAAAAGTTCAACAGAACGAGTAAATAAATATTACGATCAAATCACTACTAACGTCAATGTCAATGTCAATCTCTAATTAGATGATGCATTATAAAAAAAATTTGGAGGGTGTTTCAATTGTTTGTTGTTATAAATTGATTGTCTCATTATAAATTACGTGAGTATAATCAAAATTAATTTGTCTTTCGTTGTTAGACTTATAAGTAGAAAAAATAATACCTGACAATTATCAGTTATAATTCTTGATTAAGTAGAAAGTGATCTAGTAAATTTAACTAGATTGGTCAAAAAATATTAGTTGTGAATTTTGTGGTGCTAAATTATTTATTAAAAAAATTAGACATCACAAAATATTTAAGGAGTTATTTTCTCCATCTTAAAAACAGACTATGTTTATACTCAATTGGTCCAATGTACAACGATTTAAGAATATAAGCAACTCTTCACTTTAAGAGCTTTAATAATAAATAGGACTAAGTATGAGTTTACTATCTAAATTTTATCACAAAATTAGAATTTATTATTATTTTAAATTTAAACACAATTTAGTTCTCAAATTTTAAAAATAAATTAATATAATCCTTATAACTTAATTGTATTAAAGTCTTTTAACATGTCAAGTAACATTGATATTTGAGTTTATACTATGTGACACATTTTTTATCAAATATAAATTTGGAATGTAATTTAATACATAAAAGAAATTAACTTCATTGTATTAAGAAAACTATATATTTTTTTTTTAAGTTTGAACATCAAATTATATAAAGGTTTGAGACATATACGGATAAATTATAATTTCATGTTAAATTAAAACATATTTATTTTACTCAAATAAATATAACTAAATAAGGATATTGCTTATATATTACCACATGCTGATGTGTATTTCTTTTAATAGAATGTTAATCCAAATGTGCATGATAATTAAACTTTATATTGGTCAAAGTGTATTCAATATAATTAATAAATGTTTTCAACTATATTCAAATATAAACGATAAATTCTTTATATTTTCATAAATACTTCCATTGATGAATATTATTTATTAAATTGCACTATAAAGAAAATTATCAAATTACTCGTATAAGAAAAGTATGTGTTTTCTATAATTAATATATAATTCATGGTCTCTTGTTTTTATTAAAAATAATGTAAAGTGAAATAAATAAAGGTTGATAAACAAACGGTGGAGAATAAATCCATGTAACAAAAATATGAAAGTATTTATTATTTTTAANTTTTTTTTATCATACATGCTTTGAAATCGTATTTTATGATTATAGTTCTATTTTTACTTATTTCATGGTGTATGAACAATGTGATCATGCAAAGTTAAAGTTTGCTTTTCTCTCTAAAAAAGTCTTCCCAACAAGCTCTCTTTAAAATACTGGTCAAAGTGTATTCAATACTATTTAATAAGTGTTTTCAACTATATTAAGATAAACGATAAATTCTTTATATTTTCATAAATACTTTCATTCATGAATTTTATTTATTAACTTGCATTAAGGAAAATGGTCAAAATACTTTTTGGAAGAAAAATTATTTGTTTTTTTATAATTAATATATTATTCATGATCTCTTCTTTTTATTAGAAATAATGTAAAGTGAAATAAATAAAGGTTGATAAACAAGTGATGAAGAATAAATATATGTAAAAAAAATATGAAAAAATTTATTATTTTTAAGTAATGAGTGAAAATACTATTGAGAAGAACAAACCAAAAACGTGTAAACTCAAATGACAATATGCGAATTAAGAAAAAAATAGGAAGATTATAAACTTAAGAAAAAAGGTACTGACAAGGATATTAAGATTAATTCAAATAATAAGAATATATATATCACTAACATGTGTGAAGTGTAACATCTTTAATTTTAATTTTATAATAATTATTTTCCCATATATTATTGTTTCTCTAAATGTATCAAATTTTAATTCATGCTATTATGTTCAAAGTTCTGATATCTAATTCATTATAAAGTTTGATAATTTTAGGACTGTAGCTAAATAAATCATAAAATTTACAACCTTATTTTCAATTTAATGTTTAATACAAATATAAAATAGTGCAAAAAGGTACATAAATTTCTTTTTACATTCAAAAATTGGTCTGTACTACCATCAAAATTGGTGCTCCAAATTTTTGTTAGTGTTTTTAATACTTTACGTTTAAAAGTGTTTTAATTTAGTCCACACATTAACTTTTGTAACTGTTGAGAATATATTTCACGTATATAATTTAATCTTAGAAATATATTCGAAGTATATACTTACTAAATACCTACCTATAGAGTAACAAGAGGAAAAATAGCATTAGTGACAGGGATATTCATAAAAATCTAAATAAATATTTAAAATGTTAAATCACAATAAATACATTCATTTCCTCACTTAGCTTATAAAAATGACTGCATCTCAATTCTCATTATGTCTCTCATATTTTTTTACTTTCCACTTCTCATAATGTTTTTGAAATGAGATAATCAATGTAAGAAAAGTTCAACAGAACGAGTAAATAAATATTACGATCAAATCACTACTAACGTCAATGTCAATGTCAATCTCTAATTAGATGATGCATTATAAAAAAAATTTGGAGGGTGTTTCAATTGTTTGTTGTTATAAATTGATTGTCTCATTATAAATTACGTGAGTATAATCAAAATTAATTTGTCTTTCGTTGTTAGACTTATAAGTAGAAAAAATAATACCTGACAATTATCAGTTATAATTCTTGATTAAGTAGAAAGTGATCTAGTAAATTTAACTAGATTGGTCAAAAAATATTAGTTGTGAATTTTGTGGTGCTAAATTATTTATTAAAAAAATTAGACATCACAAAATATTTAAGGAGTTATTTTCTCCATCTTAAAAACAGACTATGTTTATACTCAATTGGTCCAATGTACAACGATTTAAGAATATAAGCAACTCTTCACTTTA